TCATATGAGTGAAAGATTCTCGACAGGGACGTTAAACTAAACAGCATGCAAACAAACAGAACAAACAAATACAAGTAAAAATCCAAAGTCCAAAATAGGCACCCAATAAAGTTATCTTGCCACAGGAAAATTTGAGTGAAATAAGAAAACCTTTGCACAAATCGTTCACAATTTGTGGTAAAGGTTAAGTTCTCCAAAGAGTTAGTACAAAGAATCTGAATAAATGGTACCCAAGGAAGGGTCTTGTCAAAAGGAATGCACATAATATTTAAGAAAGTCCCAGTAAAAACTGTCCAAAGGGCATGACAAAGGTGAAACTTTTTGAACTTTAATATTTTTGGTATGTGACTAATTAACCTTGATGAATTATAAATCAAATTTGCATTTCATTCCGCCTCAATATTTGACGGAATTATGGTATTTTTAATGGGACCTAGAATGATATTACAGGTGTAATGGGAGAGGAGAAAATGCAGCGGACCAGACCGGGATTCGAACCCGGGCCCCCTGAAACTCCGGTCAGGTGCTCTACCAACTGAGCTATCTGGCCACCGGCGATCGAACCCGGCTGACCGTCACATTCCTCCCTCCTTAAAGGTCTTTGGTCCTCCAAAGACCCCAACCCAGGCTCATCCCTGGCAGGTCTTTCACCTGTCGATTCCAGGGCACGGCACCAAATGTAATGGGAGAGGAGAAAATGTAGCGGACCAGACCGGGATTCGAACCCGGGCCCCCTGAAACTCCGGTCTGGTGCTCTACCAATTGAGCTATCTGGCCACCGGCGATCGAACCCGGCTGACCATCACACAGGCACGTAGCATCAAAGGGGAGAACACATTAGTACAGTGGCGTTTCCGGTTGGCTCAGGCAAGTAGCAATGGGGTGGGGAAGCATTTTTTTTCAAAACTCTGTACTCTGGAAAAGGAAGGTGTCCTATGTTGAAAGTGAATTAGTGTCAAGATGCACATCTTTATATATGACATACTTTTCTTAGCCTTTAGAGCTTCCTTAAGATGCCAGGAAGCGAGATGGATGGATTTCTTGGTACCTATGAACTCGATACTAATATATGACACAAACCTGGTGCGAAGCATGATAATGGTAATAGTCTATGTCGACACCTATGTCACCAATATAGCAACAGTGACTGGTTCTTTTACAAAGTCTTGAAGATGAGGATGGGGATCTATCAAAGATAAATGTTGGGTAGAGAATAAGAGCGTCCGGAGCCTTCCGAAATAAAGCATGAAAACAAAGTAGTCAAATCAGTAGGTTCTAAGTGGAATCAGTTAGAAATTAGAGATGGAAAAGTGATAAAAAGACAAATCACCAGGTAATTGTCCCCTTGTCTGAAAGGAATTTTATTTTTGCAGCAATGCCATGTTGCCAAAACCTCTGGACATCTTTGAGTCAACTAGAATCTTGAACGAGTCGGGGAATGCTTCTATTAGACTGGGCTTCAGCAGTGTAAAAAAAGGAAGAGCTGTGTTGCAGGGAAATCGTTTATGCAACTTGATCAAACGGGCGTCCTATGGAACACGTGGTGATAGACTTAAATGAATGGGACCAGAAACGACCTGATGATCATAAATAAATATTTGTAGTCTCAGACTACTTTACCAAATGGAGGAGGCATACCCACTCAAAATTATGAAGGCTCTTACTGTGGCAGAATTGATTGTTGAAAAATTCATTACCAGGTTTGGTGTACCAGAAGTGATACATAGCTATTAAAGTAGACCGTATGAAAGTCACTTACCTAAAGAAATTTGCAACCTTCTTGGTATTCACAAGACTCGAGCTAAGGCCTTCAACCCGAAATTGCATGAAATGGTCGAACTCAATAACAAAACCTTGGTCACTAGATTAACTGCATGTTTCAGACGATCAGCATGATTGGGACACACATTTACAGTATGTGTTATTGGCCTACCGATCTGCGGTACATGAGAGTACGGGGTACACCCCTAACATGCTTATGCTAGGAAGGGAAGTTTCGACCTCTTTAGCTAGAAGAGTCTGCACAATAGTTAGCGACGAGAAAACAAGAGATGAACGTCTAAATGAATTGAAAAAATATTTACTTGAACAATGTTATCCTTCCGGAATCATTGAGGACAGGATAAAAAAGGCCACAGAAATCGACAGAGAAACACTTATTACAAATGTAACTCCTCAAAAAGTGACAACCCAGATACCTCAATATTACCACTTGTAACTACCTACAATCCGAAGAACAGGAATATTACCCCAACAGTGCGTCACCTCAACAACCTTCTACAGACTGATGAGAAAATGTCCAAAGTGCTGGAAAAATATAAATTCATCAATAGTAAAAGGCAACCTAAAAACCTCTGAGAATATTGTGCAAATCTTTATTTCAACAACGGAATTCATACACGGTCAATACATGCTCCGATTCACGTTGTGGAACTTGTCGATATATTAAAGAGGGAAGTACTTTTACACTCGGAAATAAGAAATTTACCGTAAATGCAGATATGACCTGTGCATCAAAACACCTGATTTATTGTATAACATGCGCTGGATGCGGAGAATTGTACATAGGAGAAACCGGGACCTCCCTTCGCACTCGTATACGTATACACAGACAGCATATCAACCAACCCGAGTACAGAAAAATAAAACTCAGTGAACATCTTGCTGTTTGTGGACAGGGACAATTCACAGTTTATCCTTTTTATAAACTCAAAACAGAGAACATTTTAGAAAGACGGGAAAAAGAAAAACATTTTATCAAGATTTTTAAAAATTCCTTAAATAGTTTAATGTAGACTGTCTCATGACTTAATTATTTATTACGCTATTAACTATGTTATTTTACTTTGACTTTATAATTGTTTCCTCTAAAAATATTGAGACGTCATTGAATTGTTGTTGACGTTATCAACAAGTAACGTTATTACGTCACATTTTTGAATTGTTTTGTAAAACGTCTGAAGAAATAATGAAGAAAGCGCTAACGTTTTACTAACATTGTTGCCTTGTCATTTTTTTCTAATTTAAATTACCGGACACTGTGCTATTTCTTTTCATTTATATATATATATATATTGTTAGCATTGTGTTGCACACACTTTAATACATTGTAGATTGCTGTATAAATTAAAGAATTGAATCTAATTAAAGAGCAATCCATACGTACATGTATGTATGAATTATATCGATAAAAATCTTGACTAAGTTTCTTTAGTGGTAAGATATATTACAATCAGAATAAAACCGTAGGAAGGATAAACTTTTGCAAGACTTTTACAGAAAATTCTATTTTCAGGGCCATATGGCAACAACATTCTTTCTCAGTGATTGTGTACTCTATTTATGAACTAAGTTATATTTAAATAAGAACAACACTGTAGGATGATTAGCGATTGAAAGTATTTCACACAGATTTCAATTTTCAAAAAACTTTGGCAACACCATTCACCAAAATTAAAAACATAACAAACAATAGAACTATGTTTCTGAGTTTAGTCTATTTGTGTGCCACCTGATATTGAAATCAAGCCATAATGTAGGAATTAGTTACACACAGACAGACAGATAAACAGACGGAGAGATGAACGGATGACAGGCACCTTACTATCTTATTAACTCCTCAGGACTCGGACAGCAGAGCTAAAAATCTAATGAACTATATAAAATAAAATAATTACACTGTTGAAGGTATTTAAATCCTTATCTAAAACAGGAAGTATAAAAACCTGACAGGTAGATGACATAGGTGTATCACATGATCCGAGTACATTGAGATAGAATGCACTTGAAAAGGAAGACCGCCATCACTGAAGTCAGGTAAGAAATTCTGAAGTTTTTCTGTGCACATGAAAACAATTCTGAAAGTTACTGAAAATTCAGTACATCAGAATTTTTAAATATGTCCCCAAAAATTGCCTTTTCACGAAGACTCAATCAACCTTTTATAAGTACTATGATGATTTATTTTACAAGTTACATGTGGCAAGATTTATTACAATCAGAATAAAAGCGTAGGAAGGATAAACTTTTGCAAGACTTTTACAGAAAATTCTATTTTCAGGGCCATATGGCAACAACATTCTTTCTCAGTGATTGTGTACTCTATTTATGAACTAAGTTATATTTAAATAAGAACAACACTGTAGGATGATTAGCAGGTTGAAAGTATTTCACACAGATTTCAATTTTCAAAAAACTTTGGCAACACCATTCACCAAAATTAAAAACATAACAAACAATAGAACTATGTATCTTAGTTTAGTCTACTTGTGTGCCACCTTATATTGAAATCAAGCCATAATGTAGGAATTAGTTACACACAGACAGACAGATAAACAGACGGAGAGATGAACGGATGACAGACACCTTACTATCTTATTATCTCCTTAGGACACGGACAGCAGAGTTAAAAATCTAATGAACTATATAAAATAAAATAATTACACTTCTAGGTGCAGTTGTTGAAGGTATTTAAATCCTTATCTAAAACAGGAAGTATAAACACCTAACAGGTAGATGACACAGGTGTATCACATGATCCGAGTACATTGAGATAGAATGCACTTGAACAGGACGGCTGCCATCACTGAAGTCACTTAAGAAATTCTGAAGTTTTTCTGTGCACATGAAAACAATTCTGAAAGGTACTGAAAATTCAGTACGTCAGAATTTTAAATATGCCCCCAAAAATTGCCCTTTCACGAAGACTCAATCAACCTTTTATAAGTACTATGATGATTTATTTTAAAAGTTACACGTAGCAAGATTTATTACAATTAGAATAAAACCGTAGGAAGGATAGACTTTTGCAAGACTTTTACAGAAAATTCTATTTTCAGGGCCATTGCAGTTAAAAGTTACATGTGTATTTACCTATGACCTTTGGCAAAATATGGGACTTGGAGTCAGAAAAATGCGCCTTGCCCTTAAATGTAAAGAACTTTATAGAACCTTGTCCTAAATATATTATTTTTTTTACGTTTCAGTCACAAAAGCTAATGATGGACCCCCATACCAGTGCTCAGGATGTGATGCGATGTGACCTGTGTGAGGACGCTGTGGCACAGATGCACTGTGATAGATGTGTTGTCAACCTGTGTACGGCTTGTGTAGGACAACACATGATATCTGATGAATCCAAGGATCACAAAGTCGTCAAATTTAAGGACAGGAAATCCACCCCCCAATACCCTGAATGCAAATCTCATGCCGATGAACGATGTGAGATGTACTGTAAACAATGTGACATTCCTGTCTGCATTACCTGTGTTGCTCTTAATCAACATTTAGGTCATGAATTATCTAAAATCTTACAAGTTTTGGAAGAAAAGAAGGGCATGTTTACAAAAGAAAGAATTGAATTAAAGGACACAATTTTTCCAGCCTACAAGGATATTGCATCTGATGTACAAAACACAATGGGTCAATTAGAAAAGGAATATGGAGATCTCTCAACAGCCATAACAAAACATGGAGAGGACTGGCACAGAGAAATTGACAAACTTGTCAAGAAGCTTAAAGCTAACGTTGATGAGATGAAAAACACACAGTTACAACCTCTACAGAAACATTTTGATGAAATAAACAAGATGATGTCTGTCATCAAGGATGAAATCAATTCAATGGAAACTGCAATAAATACTAATGACATATCGAGACTACTGAGTATCACATCCAATGTACATATATACAGAAACCTTCCGCAAAAAATTATACCATCTTTAGCCAAATTCATTCCAGGAAAAATCCAAGGAAATGAATTAAGTAAAGCTTTTGGAACCTTATCATCAAGTTTAACTTCAGATAAACATGGCTGTAGCATGAGAACAAGGAAGAAATCACCAGAAGCTGGATCCTCTCCTCCAGTCAAATTGCTGCTTGATGAACCAGAGACCATCACCACCATAGACACTGGGTATGGAGAACTTAACAATGTGGCCTGTCTGAGTGATGAAGAAATCTGGACAAGTGAAAATAACAACACCATGAAACTCTACAGCATAAATCAGGGATCACTACTCAAGTCAATCACAACCAAGTCATGGAAGAGACCATCCAACATAGCAGTGACAGAAAGTGGAGATCTAGTTTATACTGACGACAATGATAGAACTGTGAACATTGTGAAGAATGAGAAGATAGAGGCGATCATACTACAGAACTGGAAACCTTTAGGTGTCTGTACTACCTCCTCTGGTGACCTCCTGGTTATCATGGACAGTAATGATAGAAAACAAACAAAAGTTGTCCGTTACTCTGGCTCCACAGAGAAACAAACCATTCAGTTTGATGATAAAGGTAAACCTCTCTATTTATCTGGTCCCTTTTGGATGGGAAGCATGTACATTACTGAGAACAGGAACCTCGATATATGTGTGGCTGATAGTGAAGCTAAAGCAGTTGTTGTGGTCAATCAGGCCGGGAAACTGAGATTCAGGTACACTGGACATACTCCTGCTCCAAAGAATGAACCATTCAGTCCACGAGGAATCACCTCAGACAGTCAGAGTCACATCCTTACAGCTGATGGTAACAACCACTGTGTCGACATCATAGACCAGGATGGACAATTCCTCCGTTACGTACATAGACTGAGGATTGAGTGAACCTCACAGACTGTGTACAGATACAAATAACAATCTGTTTGTTGTTCTTTTTAGACAAAAATCAAAAAGACGGAAGGTAGTCAATGAAGTGCATAAAATTAAATATATACAGTGAAATCTTTGACCAATATTGGTTAAAGTAAAACTTGATATTGATTTATCTTGTAAAATTCATCATTGATACCCCGGTATTCACTCTTAAAGTAGATGAGATGTTTTTCACTAAAGAAACAGATAATTATAGAAAAAGAAACGCAGAGTAAATTTTTTAGGCGAATTAAATTTATTTTTCTTTTAATTTTTTTCAGTATTCCTATCTAACTTTTAAAATCATCTTTCAAAAAGACATAAGCAAAATCCCATTTGATTTTGTCTAATAATTTATTTGTTAATGAAGCTCATATGACGATACCCCCCCCCCCCCCCAATAGTAAAAATCGAAAACTATCATAATCTTCCGACACATCTGTCATGAGCCTTATTTTTCCTTTGTATGGAAGTCATCGTAGTGTTGTGTTTATCTTTCAAACCCTGGCTATATTGAACATGGGTGGTTTTTGTGGTAGTAAGGTGGCGATTTCAGAGATGGAATGACGAATAGCCCGCTCGTAACATGACTCTGTTTTGCGTTAACGTCATCGTCACGGTTGATTGAAAAGCATTCCAGACCCTCTCTGACAACGTGTAACAAGTTTTATGGGGGGAAATTTACAAAAAAAACTGCTTAATTACCCTTTGTTGCCTTTTTCATTAATTAGGCAATTTGAAAACCAGAGCCCATTGAACTTCCATTAACTGTACCAAGATTGCAAGAAATTCATATCGTCTCGAAATATTGAAAAACAATGTGTATACCTCAGGTGGATAGGGTGCAAAAAGATTTGTTGACAAACTGATCATCATCAATTAAATTGCACGTGTTTTGGGATTTTTAGCGTTTTCCCTACGTGACGTCATGCATTTTACGGTTGAGTAATTCTGAACATTGATTTTGGTGTATAGTAACTACATTTTTCATCTAATCAATTTTCGTAATTTTCGGTCATGCGGTCAAAATTTTCCGAATATTATGCTACCCTGTGTTTCTTTTTCCTTTCAAACCAACTTTTATTCGCGTGCGAGAAATTTTCACGAGGTTCGCGAAAGCCCCGTCATCGCGAATTTTTCTCGCCGTGAACGGGTCCTTAAAGTCTCTTTTTCTATTAAAAACAGTTCCAAAAAAGGCTTGATCGCGAAAATTAATCGTAGCGAGCTCGTTTACTTCCAGTAAATCGCGAAATAAAGTCGTCGCGAATAAAAGTTGGTTTACAGTATTAAGCAGCAGAAAGATCGATCACTGTAATGCTCTTCAAAATTCTGCATTATCATTGTAAAGAAAAGAATAGAGAATACTTGTAATAAATGGTCTTGATGTAAAATACCAAATTAATAAATCTTTTACAGTGTACATATTGAATTCTTCACCATTTCCACGATAGAATAATATATGTCAGAGAGGCATGAATGCACCCTTATAGTGTTTAATTAAGACTGGGTTGCTTTAAAAAAAAAATAAAATATCATATTGCTGCTTATGTTTTCTTTAATCAGCTAACAATACCACAACTTACTTGCATGAAATTTCGATAACTTTCAAATGTTAGACAATACAAAATTCCCAAAACAAGGAATAATTTGAAATTATTTACTTAGTTCTGTTCGTGCTGGTTAGTTGATTTCATATTGGCCTGTCTTATGTCCATCTTTGGACCTGTCCCAATGTCCAGTTGTTTTCCTTTTATTACTTTCTCGACATATATTTTACATGTCTCTTTTGGTCTTTCTTTCTTTTGCCAGTTGGTGTCCATTTCAATACAACCCTTGGGATGCATTCTACATATATGTCGTATCCACAGCCATTTTCTTTTCTTTATAACTTGAATAGATTAGTGGTGTTAATCTTTTTGTGCAACTCTTCATTTGAGATGGTATTAGCCCAGAAGATGCGTAAAATTCTCCGCAGCAACGTGTCTGAGAGGCATCTAGCCTGTTCAAAATGATTTTTGTAACCTTCCAGACATAACAAATTTAAAAAATACTAGAAATTTGAAATCTTTATGTCTAAGTGCCTTAACTTTTATAAAACATTAATCAATATGAAAACAGATTTTATCTGTCTGTAAACAAAAAGAGACAAATGACTCTATTTCTTGGCCAAATTATTCGAAGCGAATTATAAAACAGCGCAATCTGGCTCAACCCAAGTTATACTCGAATAATATAGCCAAGAAAAAGAGTTATTCCGTATGATTTACTTTTACTCCATGCCCTCGATTTCCACGCCGCATGAAACTATATATCCAATGCAACTAGACATCTATGATGCAAGCAACTTGTCACAACTGATGACGTGTGTGCCAGGAGCTTAGATTAAGTCATTTTAGAATTTGCAGTCGGACCGTTCGGACGTTTTGCAATTGGTTTGAAAAAAAAGCCGCAGATATGTGATATAGGGAATGTTTACATATCTGCGGCTTTTTTTATCTTTCCATAGTGATTTATCACATATTGATATTGTATACTTTTCACGCCCCTCAGATATCATTGCACGAGACACATAGTGGGAAACATTGTTACAAACAATGTAAGAATTAATTCTAACTCTTTTTGATTCAATGTTTTAAAACAAAATTAACCTAAGAAAAAAAACCAGGTCAATCATATTTATCAAGCACATTGCAAAACAACAATTATCATCCAAATAGAAATGTGTAAAGATTTCCGAAGTGATATAATTCTATTCCATAACATTCGGCATATGTCGTACTCCCTCATACTTCATATAATAACTATAAACTCCTGACAGACGCGTCATAAGATATACTTATTATAATAGTCAAGCGATTTGCTAAACAACAAGTCGTCAAAATCATCGAAATGAGTTAGAAATTCCAAATTAACAACACCCAATTCCATAACAACAGAACTGTCCGACTGCAACTTTTAAAATGGCAAAATTTCAGCTCCTGGCACACACGTCATAAGATATGTGACAAGTTGCTTACATCATAGATGTCTCCTATTATACGAAAAACAGTTCATTCGATGTAGCCCCAAGAAACAGTATACATGTATTCAATACTACGATGTATAATGTAAATTATACCTAACCAACTAAGACTTTCAAAAAGCGTAATTCATAAACTATGATCAGACTGATATGTATGGCAAGCCCTTTTACTATTTATTCGTTAAATAAAAATTTTCTTTCAATAAGAAAGATATCTCTTTAGCATAGAGAGATGTCTCATTTGCTTATAGAGATATCTCTTTAACAAGGTCAACCATCGTGACCTCTGGGTCGAGGGCAATCACGAAGACGGATATCTGTTTGGACTGGACAATCTAATCACCATACTGGACGAAGTAGAGAGAGAACTGTTGAACGTAGAAGACACAGAGAAATCTAGTGCTCCTAGCGAATAGATCTGTCATTGTTATAAATATATATACTGCTGACAGAGTTGTGACAAAAAAAAAACCATACTCATCAACCCCCCTCACATTAGGGCTGCCTGTCCCCAGGGGCAGAGGCAGCCCAAGGACCCTCGGGCCGAGAAAGGGCTGCCTGTCCCCAGGGGGCAGAAGCAGCCCAGGGACCCTCCGGCCGAGAGAAAAACAGGGGGAGACTGCTGTCTTATTTAAATGATTAGATGTAGTATATAGGGCATACCTGAATTTACTCTATTCCAGATATTGATCTGTGGATTCCAGTTATAGAAGATTGATCATAAACGGGATCTGTTACACACTTACAGAAAAAAATTGTTTCTGAGTTGGAAGGACAATTTTTTTGGAAGCAAAATTGTTAAAATGTTTCTTTTTTTAATTTGGTCATGGTACATATCCAACAATTAAACACTGCATTATTTTATGATGTATGAAACGTACCTGCCACTGACAACTTATTCAGAAACAAAACAGAAAATGTTTCATATTTTTACTCAAGAATATAGATACATGTTTCAAATAACTAAAGCTTTCTTGAATAAGAAAAGGTCATGTGACCACTTTAAAGGTCAAAGTTCATTGAAAAGTCCCAAGCACTGGTTTTATAGTAATCATCTTTTATAATCAATGTACATTTGGATATCTGTCAGATTTTTCTTTTTGAGAAGTTTAATCAGAATTACATATATGATAATGATCTAATCTAGTTCACTTGAAAGAGATCTGTTGATTTTTTTTCTGTTATGTGTTTTACAAGATCTGAAATTCACGCTTTTATAAAGTTTATAAAAATTTTGTCTAAAGTCGAACCTGCCCTATTTATTTCTTCGACTTTAATGTTGATGTGTTTATTTTGGAAAATCAGGATCTTCCAAACGAGAGCAGCTGTTTGTTTCTGTCATTTTACTGAGTGCCGATTGGTTCATTTCTAAGTGGGTGTGTCCCTTTAGGGGGCGTGTCTATGTATTATACTGTAAATACTGTACAGATCTGATATTGAGTACAATCTTATAGCTGCATAATCAGCCATTCTTGTAAATGTCTTTTGTTTATACGAGAACTGCTCATCATAGTAATGTTTTATATGATGCGTTTGTTAGCCATGGTCAAAGTCATGCCACAGCTGTTGCCCTTTAATGTTGAGAGAATGTAGAATTATATATAGTAACCTGAGCCGTACTTCTGAAAAGTAAGATTGAACTATAGCTTAAATGGCTTTCATAATGCAGGTCTTGCCTAATGTAGTTGTGTTGAAAAGTTTTACTTGAAAAAAAATCATGAAATTGTATATATACATGTACATGAAAGTTACAGTCTATGAAAGATAACCAAAATATGTCTCATTCTTATAGACTATTTCAAATGTATATTTATAGTGGAATTAAGTAAATATGCTTATACTTTTGTCAGATTCAATATTTCTGTATATTTATTATAATATTAGTAGGAAAAGTTAGAATTTAACACTGACATAGCTTTGAGGGCTCTTATAGAATAAGCCACAGAAAAGTGCAATATAATAAAAGTGCCTATACCCCTGCAGTGTAGAGAAAAATGATTTATAAATCATAAAGCGTGAGATTTAAGTGGTAATCTGTTCCTTTTTTGGGGGGAGGGGGTGGGGCTTTATTAATAACACAGCATCCAACATTCCTTCTCCTTACATTGCATGAAATAAATTCCATTAATAAAGGACAAGGTATGGTAAAACCCTATTTTGGCCTCCTGTTTGGTGATGTCTCTTAGTTAAAATGTAAAACCTATTGTCCTCACTGTCATAAAATGAGTAAATTGATTTTATAAGTGTAAATATGTAAAGCATATGTCATAGAATGGTCACGAAATTATATATTTTCAAAATTTCTCTTTCACATTTTCTTCAAAAAAAAACATGAGTACAAGCTTGCCTATTCACTAAATATATTTCCTACATTTGTTTGTATATTTTCTATATAAAAATATCGGCATAGAATAGCTTGTGTTCAACTGCTTAAGAAAATTTGTGAAAATGTTTTTTTTAATCTTGTGAAACTGAGAAACAAACCTGGTGCTAGTTTTAAAACTTGAAGTATCATTTAAATTTCTTAAATGCACCAGTCTGATAACATATGTTTGATTTATAATACCAAGCAGGGGGCAAAATTTGGATTATCATAGTACGCATTACCTTGTTCCTTGGGGGAGAGAGGGTATTTATGTGTTACTATAATTATTTAGCAATTATTTCTGGTTTATTAAGATGTTAAATGATTTTATTAATCTGAATTTAATTTATTGAGTGGATTTATTTTTGACTTCTGAACTTTTTTGTGTTGAATTCTGCTGTGTTGAGACCTGGTGATTTTATCATCAACTGTAGAATTTATATTATCGAGTGCTTCTCGTATCTGTAAAAAAGAAAATGTTTTCTACAAAATCATGAGATTGAAAATATTTTAATAAAATTTATTTAATTCAAGTTGTTTTCCTCTTGTTTTTTTTTATTTCAATTTAAAGAAAAGAAACAAAGACCCAACAAAGGAAAGCATGTAAATCAATGCACTAATTGACATCGACCCCGACGCAAAATACGTCACTTTTGTTTTGCACAGTATTTGCTTACTCATCCACAAACAAACTCACAAACCTACAATGTTGCATCACCCAATCCCCACCGATTCTGTGACAAGGCTTTAAAAGGAAGAAGAAGTGTGATTTCTTCATTTAACTGGTAATTTTCTAATATAAATATGGAAGGAACAAATAATTATATGACTGAGATAAATATAATACCCACTCATTAAAGTATAAGTCACTATCCAACGATGGGGTATAATGAGAAACCGATGCGTTTTTTGATGAAAACTGTGCCGGCCGGGCACCACTAGTGATAAAAATAGCTTTTTTGCGAATCGGTGGGGTTTTTTAATTTAAAATTCAATGTCTCCAACGATGCCTCACATCGCTCCTCATCGGCAACCCATCATTAACACATCAACAAAGGAATGTATGGCCGAGCATTGTCCAATATCCGTTGAATCTGAGGTCATCGGGGAGTTTAGTGGTGTTTAACAGATAACGACAGATCGTCGGTCGATGTTCGACCAAACATTACGTCGACGATGTTTGATGTTTACCAATGTATTTGCGATGTAATATACATCCACGATTATCCTAGAATATCGTTTTATGATTAGCAATGCATCGCTGGGCCTTTGTAAATTCCGGCAACCACGCCATTTTTCTCATAAAACGCATTGGTTAAAAAGTATGCACATCGATGGATAATGTGACTGATTCTTTTAGGACTAAGGCCGATGTGGAATTTTCAACATAACACCACGGATTACTACAGATTACCACCGGTCTACGGCTACCGGCCGGGAAATGTGACCTAGGCATAAGGAGAGTTCTTGCATAATAAAAAATATATGAATGAACAGGAGGAGATGAACCTTAAACAGATAATATAAAATACATGATACTCCCATGACTTTGGAAAGGTCATATAATCAGTTTGATTACAAAATATAGTTTCACAGTTTGAACAGACTACTAGTATATAAGATCTATATTATATATGAGCCCTGTCTCTGTGGTTAATGGCTTTATAAATGATCTTGAACAAAGTAATGATTATAAGACATTCATTCTTAAGGATATTTGATCCCAAGTGAGGAAGGGTAACTCTAAATTATCATTTGATTAAAAATACATCTTCTCAAATATGAAGTTCGAAATCGAAAACTTTTCTTTTTCATTTAATGCATCTTACTATGTTTCAGGGTTCTTTGAAATCTTAGAAAAGGGTTTAGTTAAAAAAAAAACAACTGACATTTGTGCCCTATAAAAGTGTCAAGTCATATACAGTTTTAGAACTGAAATAAGATTTTCTTGAACGTAGCCTTACATTTGTGAATACGGAAGCTTATTAGCACGATACAAATAAGAAGTGATCTGTGATGTTTTGCAATGCAAAAGGAGCGTATACCTAGAAAACTCATTCTAAGTATTATATAGAATTGTATGTTTTAAAATTATGGCACAATTAATATGCATAATTTGAAATATATCATTTACTGAATACCCAAGAGATGCAACACTTTAAATAATTTCTAGTGCAATGACATACCCTGTAAAATAAACATTGTGCGTTTGTTAAAGTCAAGCAGGAAGTTCAGAGCTTCTTAAATGCAAGCCATGCAGTTATTGAAATAGACCCAATAAAACATCTTAACCAATGTTATATATGACATCTGATTTGTACAGTTAATACTTATAATTGGTTGTGTTTTGTAACATTTGCATATGGTTACTTTTTCTAGAAAGCTCGATAACTCAAATTGTGTCCCTTTGAACTACGTAGCCATCTGTGCTTTATTTTCACTGTTTTATGTAAAGTTTTAGTTTGTGCTTACGAACAGCAAACTTGTGTACTATATTAAGACTTTAGAATCGTATTATATCAGAGAGCATTAAAGCCTTATCGGTGTTTCACTCGTAATTTAATTAAGTCTTACGCAATGTTTTATGCATATATACAAATATCGAATTTTTTTTCCAAACCTGTCTTCTAAATGCTGAATGAATGGGCATTTTTTTTTCAAAAAAAGGAAATTACAGATTGTATGTCAAAACAGCAGTGTAACCGTCCCGTTGAAAATTAGAAATTACCTGTAAGTATAAAATATCCATGAAAAATTTTTATGGAAACTTAATTTATATTGTGATCATAAGAAAAATATTACAATCACTCCTTGAAAGATTTCTCTAAAAATACTTTATATCAAATATACTTATGCATTTAGAATCAGACATATCAAGTTAAAATACAACCTGATGTATATAAATTCTTTTGCAATATTAAATATGTTAAATTAAAATTGTATTTATTGATTTGTAAATTAATTCTGTCTTACATGTAATACATTGAAGAGAACAATCATATAAAATGAACAACGAATTTTCCAACAATGCAGTCCTGTAAAAAAATTAAACTCGTATAATTTATTATAGTACAAAATATATTTCATATTAAAACACATTTTCTCCTGTGATCTTGAAATCTGACCTTGCACCATGTCGAACTGCAACCTGGAGAAGAGTTGTCTCCAGTTGTTGACCCAATTTCTAAATGACCATGCCGTGTTTGTCAACAGAATAAAGATAAGCATAGACAGCCCAGATATCACCGACAATGTCAGACGAAGGAGCGCACGTGCTTTTGGGCCTTTCGGCGGTCTCCCTCGCGCGATGGCTCGCCTCTGTATGGTCCAGCCGGATCAGGAGGGACAGCTTTGTTCGGGTGGGGAAAGTTTCAGAGTTAAATATATTCCCCGTGAAGTCCTGCCCGGGAATTCCTTTACAGACGGCCAAGGCAGAAATCACAGGTCTGGTGTGGGAGGATATGTACGACAGGTATCTCTCTCTCTCTCTCTCTCTCTCTCTCTCTCTGATACATGGTTATGTGCGTACATTATATATAGGCGTCGGAAGCAAATTGAAAGGGGGCTAATTGAAAATGGGGGCTAAACCAACAAAAAAAGCTAGAAAACCCTAATTTTCAATGCCTATATTATGTCTATCTTTGCAAAAAAAAAGTGGGGGGGGGCAGGTTCCGATCGACGCCTATGTTATATGTGGAACTCTCTTTGTATGTCGTATATATTACCTGTCTGACATACTAAGTAGGGAGGTCAGAATAGTGAATACATTAGTATGATTCTTTTGTTGTCAATTTAAATTTGTCATATTTTGCATGCAGGCCTCAAATGAGATAGCTTAAATGATAAAGCTCCGATATTAAATATAATAAACTCTTTTGTTAATTAATTTCTTAATATTGGTATATAATTTTTGTCGTGTCCGCGTCCGTCTGTCTCGTTATGATTAAGCTTCAGTATTATATTACATTTGTTTATTTTCTCGTCACAAATTCCTGAATATTGTTTTTGTCAGGTGATAAAATATTAGATGTCAGACAGCAATAATTAAGTTTTCCACACTCAGACATGATAAGAATTTTAAATTTAAAAAAATTACGTTTTATTGTTTAATAAACGCTAGTATGTAGACTATACCTTCTGCAAAAACCTACTCAAATTCTGTGATTTATGTAATTGTGTGTATAAATAAATTTGCCCTGGTACATGTAAAAAAACATTGGTTAGTGAAAGCAAGGCTCCTTATGTCCCCTCCCCCCTCTCTCACTTTGTTAAAAAATGTGCAAAATACCTACTACATAACATAATAAAACATCTTACACTATATATACTTGGGATGAAAAGAAGGTTAAAGATCAAGGCAAGGTTAACAATCAAGGCTAGTAAAGTCATATTGTCATTTTCAGAGTATTGTGAAAAGAAAGACACATACGGAATATATGAAGTCATATTTGCTACAAATTCAAGATATCACAGATTGAGGGACGAATAGTATTTAATGAACATTACTATATATCTGGTGTGCCAAACCATTCCGCAGTTGGATTCGAACCCGCGACGTAAGGATTTAAAACTCCTTACCCAGCGACTTTAGAGCTAGTATGTACGCTCTAACACTGGTGACGCAATTCTAGGAGTTGATACGTTTAATAGTAAACTAGTAAATAGTCAATAGTTACGAAAGCCTATTAGGATCAATCTAAAGAGAAAAAAATTAAAAGGCGTTATAACGCTTTTTGAAAAGGCGTAATAACGCAAAAAAAGGCGTTATTACGCCTTTCCATTCCAAAAGGCGTTATAACGCCTTTTTACAAGGCGTTATAACGCCTTTCTGAAAGGCGTTATTACGCCTTTCCATTCAAAAAAGGCGTTATTACACCTTTCCAAAAGGCGTTATTACGCCTTTTAAAAAAGGCGTTATTACACCTTTTTAAAAGGCGTTATAACGCCTTTCTAAAAGGCGTTATTACGCCTTACCAAAAGGCGTTATTATGCCTTTCCAAAAGGCGTTATTACGCCTTTCCAAAACGCGTTATTACGGTGCCCGTTATTACGCCTTTCCAAAAGGCGTTATTATGCCTTTCCAAACCGCGTTATTACTAAAATAACTTTCTAAAAAGCGTTATTACGCCTTTTACTTTCAGTATGACTAAACATATTTAGCCCAACCGAGAGGGGGGGGTGCAGAAATCTTACCTTCGGGACATGAATTTCACAATTAGATATAAGACGAATTTCTCCAAAAATAATTCAAACAGATAGCAATTAGATCTCCAGGAAAAAGATTTTTTTGAATGCGTCATATGTTTTTAATGTTGAACCAACTATGTCCTTCTGTAATACCAGATACACCTCTACTAAGTCATTGATTTCAATTGCTCATTATACCGATGCAAATGGTTTGCCTGCTTCTTTCCAAGAAGGGAGAAGAATGTCTTCAAACGACAGGAATTTTAATACATGGCAAGGAAAACTCCAAGATACATCTGCCTATATCCTAGATTTTCACAAGAAGAGTGTTGTCTTCTCTTAATACGAATGCAAACAGTTGTCAGTGAGATGTGCGGGAATATAGAGAATTGCATAAATGAAGATGGTTTTAATTAAATCTTTCATATATTTATTAACATAAAATAACGCCTTTCCATTTTCCTTTTCAAGTAGGCCAGTAGTACGAGTGCGAATGGGGTACACCCCTCCACACATACACACTTTTTGGGGGAAAGTCTCGCTACAGTTTAGACATTATATTTAACCATTGGTTGCTTGGTTCCTGAACATTTTGTTGCAATATGTAAAACTGGCAAATTATTGCATTTAAATAAATTTTACCGAGAAGTCATCCCCACGAGTTTGGTCAGTAGAAGGGGGGGGGGGAGGGGGCTATTAAAAGCACGGGCCTGTTAAATGCAAAATAATGGTAATTCAAAAAGCATAATAACCGTTTGGAAAGGCATAATAACGCCTTTTAGAAAGGCGTTATAACGCCTTTTAAAAAGGTGTAATAACGCCTTTTTAAAAGGCGTAATAACGCCTTGTAGAAAAGCGTTATAACGCCTTTTAAAAAGGTGTAATAACGCCTTTTTAAAAGGCGTAATAACCCTTTTTGAAAGGCATAATAACACCTTTTGGAAAGGCATAATAACGCCTTTTAGAAAGGCGTTATAACGCCTTTTAAAAGGGCGTCATAACACCTTTTTAAAAGGTGTAATAACGCCTTTTTTAAAAGGCGTAATAACGCCATTTGGAAAGGTGTAATAACGCCTTTTAAAAAGGCGTAATAACGCCTTTTTGAATGGAAAGGCGTAATAACGCCATTCAGAAAGGCGTTATAACGCCTTTTGGAATGGAAAGGCGTAATAACGCCTTTTCAAAAGGCGTTATAACGCCTTTTTTCGCGTTATTACGCCTTTTCAAAAAGCGTTATAACGCCTTTAAAAATTTTTCTCTCTTTAGATTAATCCTAATAGGCTTTTGTAAATAATCAATAGTAAAATTAAATCATCGCAGCGAAAGCGTGATTAAAGCTTCCTTCCTGTAGCATTCACTTATGAGATAAGGTCGTCTAGTTCAGTAAGCAACAGAACCCAAATAGCAAGCTATGTATTTTACAAATGCACAAACATATACATTGAATATTCTAAAAAAAATTCCCAAATGCGATGCCCTCCCATTAAAATATCTTCTTCTCAACGCTTTTGGTCCACTTTGCATAGAACCATTGGTGACCGGATTACTAATACATGTAAGTGTTTACAAGTTTCTCAGCTTTTGTACATTGTAAACTCGTATACACGTATCTTGTAATGTATACCTGATATACTCGTATATCTTGTACATGCATTGTAGTTGTAATTATACCTGACATGTTCTTAAACCTACCAAAGTTTATAAACAGAGGGATTAATTGTATATTAAGTAAGATCAATATATAATGAACTTGCGAACTTTTATATGCTGTCCTTAAATTTTACCAATAGACACTTGCCCTTCTGACGCACAGTCTAACACGTTGTATGCCACAATTTATCGAATTTATCAACATTTGCTTTCTTTTTATCACATACACCCTCATATTTTGCGAGATGATAATGAATTTGACGTCATCAGGGATTAATTTAATTTGAATTTTTATTTTATGTTTACTAAACGGGTCGTACTATATTTGTTTTATTTTAAAACGCAGTATATAATTTTATTGATTAATATTTAATTCAAACATTTGCATTCAAAAAATTAATAATGACCCAAAGTTTATTGTCAACTTTGAATTTCCAAAGAAGAGCTATTTTGATTGCCTACAACAAAGTGGTTTACGATTTGTTTACGTCAAATTCTTTATTTTATCTTTTCAGTAATTAAAACAAGAACGTTTCAATGAATTTAACCCTGAAATCAAAGTCAAAATTCAAAATCACAAAGAAATCTTTATACGTGTAATTTCTCAAGAAGTGATACGGTGCTAGATATTTATGGGCGTCGGAAGCAAATTAAAAGGGGGGGGGGCTAATCGAAAGTGGGGGGGGGGGGGGCTAAACCAACAAAAAAAGACAAATCCCAATTTTTTAATGCCTTTATAATGTCTATTTTTTCAAAAAATGCTAAGCCCCCTCCAAGCCCCGCCCCCCCCCCCCCCCCCCCCAGGTTCCGACGCCTATGATATTCGATATTCATTTTCAGATTTTACTTTGTCCAGTATGAATAGACGCCGCAATAGGTTTCTCCAAGAATATTCTTGTATCACACTAACTCTAGGTCACGGTTAAGATCGTCAAAACTTTGTATTTTTTGATAAAAAGAACCTCGTTTTCATGGTGAGAAGAAATAATATTGTATAAAGTAAAAATACTTGAATTCCACGGCCACAGACGAACCCTTGCTTTACATGTATATAGATATTTTTATTTTATTTGTGCAATTTAATTTGATTTAATGCAAGACAATTAATATTACGTGTATAATAAAGAAAGGGACTGCTGCTTTTTTTCTTGTTTTTTTTTTTTTTAACTTGTTTTATTTATTTTTTTTAATTTTCAAATAAGGTATTGTGACACGATAGCGGTGTTTTTCTTTGAAGTTTACTGTTCTGTATTAGCAATACAGAACGGTACTGTGGTGGGCGGAGCTACTTTCCGTTCTGTATTAGCCCTGTATACAGTATTGTATTTGCCAACTATTCTGTATCTAAAATACAGCACGGTCTAAAAATAAATCTGATTCAATTTAGCAAAAGCACGTACAAATAGTAAATGCCGATGTTTTCCTATTTAAATTTTGGGGAAATAGCGGCAGCCGGTATTTTCCTGAGAATATAAAATGTCAAAATTTCTCAATCACTTTTTAAAAACATTCCACACAGAATCTACACGTAATTTCGATCCAAACTAAAAGGAAAATTCTCAATAACGGAAAACATCCTCTTTACGTAATTTAGATCCAAACAAAACGGAAAATTCACGGAAAACATCCACTCTCCCCGTGCAAAATCATTCAGGTCCATTTTTCCGCGTTTTTAATTTTTTAAAATCCTTCTCGCTGATGACAGCCACACGTCTCTTTCACTTCGTTTTTAATGTCGCAATTCAATTTGAAAATAAAAATCCGTGACATCAAAGTCCATCGAAAAATTTTCTGTAAATCCTGTTTTCGTAAATCCAGTTAAACCGGAATTTTAATACCCCTGAAATATATTATGATAAATCTCCATCTACAATAGATCACAACAATGACGGTTAAATCCTCCAATTTAACCATTAAAACTGACTGTCACTCGATTACGTCTACCCCGTTAAACTGTCAAAACTAATCTGACCGAATTTTACGTTTTCCGTGGAAATAGATATATACTGCGGATGCGTACTTCCCGTCGGGGCCTCATCTACAGAACTCTAGCGGAAGTTTGGATGCTGCAAAGTTATAAAGTGGGCGGAGCAATTTTTGATTGATCGTGTCACAAATCATTTAGAGAACTCGACAGGTTCTGTATCGTAGATACAAATTTGGGGGTGGAGACTCGTGCTACGCACTCATCTACCCCCAAATTTGTATTTATGATACAGAACCTGTCGAGTTCTCTAAATAAGTATTATTTAGAGAACTCGACAGGTTCTGTATCATAGATACAAATTTGGGGGTGGACGAGTGCTTTAGCACGAGTCTCCACCCCCAAATTTGTATCTACGATACAGAACCTGTCGAGTTCTCTAAATGATTTGTGACACGATCAATCAAAAATTGCTCCGCCCACTTTATAACTTTGCAGCATCCAAACTTCCGCTAGAGTTCTGTAGATGAGGCCCCGACGGGGAGTACGCATCCGCAGTATATATATTTCCACGGATAACGTAAAATTCGGTCAGATTAGTTTTGACAATTTAACGGGGTAGACGTAATCGAGTGACAGTCAGTTTTAATGGTTAAATTGGAGGATTTAACCGTCATTGTTGTGATCTATTGTAGATGGAGATTTATCATAATATATTTCAGGGGTATTAAAATTCCGGTTTAACTGGATTTACGAAAACAGGATTTACAGAAAATTTTTCGATGGACTTTGATGTCACGGATTTTTATTTTCAAATTGAATTGCGACATTAAAAACGAAGTGAAAGAGACGTGTGGCTGTCATCAGCGAGAAGGATTTTAAAAAATTAAAAACGCGGAAAAATGGACCTGAATGATTTTGCACGGGGAGAGTGGATGTTTTCCGTGAATTTTCCGTTTTGTTTGGATCTAAATTACGTAAAGAGGATGTTTTCCGTTATTGAGAATTTTCCTTTTAGTTTGGATCGAAATTACGTGTAGATTCTGTGTGGAATGTTTTTAAAAAGTGATTGAGAAATTTTGACATTTTATATTCTCAGGAAAATACCGGCTGCCGCTATTTCCCCAAAATTTAAATAGGAAAACATCGGCATTTACTATTTGTACGTGCTTTTGCTAAATTGAATCAGATTTATTTTTAGACCGTGCTGTATTTTAGATACAGAATAGTTGGCAAATACAATACTGTATACAGGGCTAATACAGAACGGAAAGTAGCTCCGCCCACCACAGTACCGTTCTGTATTGCTAATACAGAACAGTAAACTTCAAAGAAAAACACCGCTATCGTGTCACAATACTTAAATAAAACCTTAAAAAATGAAGTTCTTGGGAAAAAAAATACAGATTTATTAGGGGAAGTTTCGATTGTCAGACATAAAGTCATCAAATTCTTTCAGGACTTTGATGGTTCAAAGAGAAACAAAAAAATGTATTACTAGTATTTGAAGTAGATCAGAAATTAAATTCAAGTTCTCGAGGTCTATTAGCTCAACGATTTTTTGAAAATTCCTTCAAAAAATCTTGGATATCAAAATCTTGTTCTTTATACAATATGTATAATTTTATATAAACCTACTCCAAAAATTGATTTATTCAATCTTATGATTATTTTGGACATAAAAGGGGGTGAGAGTGGCCTAGTATTTTGCGATGTAAGTCAGTGGTGAAGTTGAAGGTCACGTACCAGTAACTAGCTCATCTGACCCATACCTCGATGTATGACAGACGTTGTTAGAGAATCCCACGTATTGCTCTACATCACAGGGGCAACTGCAAACAGTATTTAATGGAACTTTTATGAGTCATTTATATTTACTAATTAGTAATGATAAAAATCTTGTTAATTAAGGACAGGTGACAGGACAAACTAAAGATGTATTAGAATATATTTTTGACGTATATATTTTGATGGATGCAAATAATAAATACCTTAAATGTTAGAGTTTGTAAACTTTTTGTGGTGTTCAAAACTCAACATTTCTGCAACACATCTTATCGATGTAATTTTTTGGTCACATGAAATTAACTTATGGAGAAACTTTGAATGAAAAAGATGTATTTGTGAAATACTGATGCCCTCGTATGGCAGCTTAAGTCGAAGGTTCGAGTTTCTCAATTGCAATTCAACTTCAAGGTCAAAAAATAAAAAATGTTGCCCGACGAAAGGACTTAGTCTAGTGTCAATGGATGTGCCTGTTAAATATGAAAGCCCAAGCATCAACCGTTCAAACGTTATCGTCAAGGTTATCGTTTTCTAAAAGTGTGTTAAACTCCAAGGTCAAGGTTAAAAGGTCAAAATTAACGGTAGGCAGGGGAAGACCTTTTCATAAGAAAAGCGTATGCAAAATATAATAGCCCTAGCACCAATTGCAAATGTTCAAAAGTTACGGCGAAGGTTAAAGTTTTTCAATAGTAGGTCAAACTCTGATATGAAGGTCAAAAAGTCAAAATTGTTGGTATTCAGAGGAAGGTTTTGTCATAAGGAATATACCTGTGATGTTTTAAAGCCCTATTTCTAATTGTTCAAAGGTTAATTGTGACCATTTTTTAAAAGTGGTTCAAACAATAAGACCAAGTTCAATAGGTAAAAAAATATTTACACTTTTGAAAGGTCTTGTTACGATAAATACAAATGTAAAAGATATGAGCCCTAGAGTAAACTGTTCGAAATTATGGTCAAGCTTCAATTATGGTAAATTTTTGCAATAGTGGGTCAAACAAGGTCAAGGTTAATAGGTCAAATATATTGGTACCCAAAGGAAGGTCTTGTCACAAGGAATAAAAAACTTAAATATGAAAGCCACAACTCCAACCAATCAAAAGATATGAACATTGTTAAAATTTTTGCAGACAAACAGACAAAAGGACAGACGAACGAACAGTGCAAAACTATATATCCCCGAATTTTCGATTATGGGGGCATAATAATTAAAATATGTGCGGTTAAACTTTTCCAGTTTACTTATTTAAAATGTCTAAATTTGTTATTTGCAAAATTTTTGAAAGTTAAAATCATCTGTCCTTAATATTTTAAACCAGGCAATGGATGTTGGCAAGACCAAACGGAGACTTCCTGAGTCAGCGTCATTATTCAAGGATGGCCTTAATCCGAGTATCCAGTCACAAGGACGACATCCACCTAGATGCCCCGGGTCAAACCACCCTAGTATTAAAGAAAAATCCTCCAGTTGACAAATCGAGATTCATAATGACAAGGTGAAGGAGGTCGAAGTTGATAAGATATTAAGTATTATTGCGCTGCACTATTTTTGTACATGTGTATGAGTCTACAGTTTAGTTTTATTACAATCCTCAGGTAAGCTTAAACTTTCAGTAAGGCGTGGCGCATCGACATCCCATTAGCATTTGAAATTTACACAGCTTTCATTTACTGAAATATACATGCCGGGATAAAAAATCGGGCAAATGTCGACGAGTGTAGCAATTATCCAATAAAAGCGTCTCGTACGACATAGAGGTGGGGCTTAATTCATCTCATAACCATCAACAACAATTTAAAGTTCCTGATGCTATTAATTCCCTAACCAATGAAAATCTACGTTACCATTTGAGAGACGCTAATTACGTAGTATCGAGAATGTCACGCCTAACAGAAAGTCCATGGTTAATTGAGAATCGTCCTGTTGATATGTATTTAATACGAAAGCCCAGAAGGCTCATTCGAGATTCAAGTTTCGAAATAAGAGATTCAAAATTCGAGTTTCGAAATTCAAGATCCAAACTAACCAATCAAAAGCGGGTTCAACTATTAATTACTTCCCTTTGTTACGTTTTTACTATCAAGAAATCGTTGAATATATTTATAACAAATGGATCATTTGCTAAAATGAATAATGCAAGAAAAAATGTTTTATGTATTAAAACGAAATAAAAACAAAATTTGGATAACATTTTGAAAAATACATATATAATCTTATTTTTCTAATTTAACAAAATAGTAAATACGTATATATGGAATATTATATGGTCTTATTGTTGACTTGCTGAAGAAGTGGTTATTTCATCAGATCTTTGCTGATGGAGAATGTTGCATGCAATTATAATTAGATATGAAATGATATGAATCGTATCTACACTGCACAATAATTTAAGGGTACATATTTCATTACATTTATAAAGGGTACATTTGTGCAGTGAGACTTGACTGCTGAATCAAACTGTTTAAATGGTCAGAGACTAAAATATAACACCATAACGCTATACATTGTATATAGTTCTGCATCTAATTTAGACTCATCTACTATTTGATATAAGATAAAATAAATGCCGCATTTATTTAAATTCACATCGCCAAGCTGTATTGTAGATATAATTTTTAATTAATTAATTCAAAAAATCAAAGCCTTAGACGAAGATAAGTAATTAAATACTTAATTTTTATGTATTTCCTCTATCAGGAAAACGAACGCGATTTTTCTTTATCAATACTACGTCGTCTTTCAAGTTTCAAGCCTTTCAGTGTGTATGGATAAATGGGCAGGCGGGGTGAGTAGGGGTGGTGTTATTGTTAACCTTTAGACACTTGCCACATATTCTTAACTTTAATTATATGTCATCAACCCCGTAAACAATGTAGACAATACAAAAATATATATATATTCCTGATATATCTATTCTATTTAATATTTAAGAAGCCATAATATAATTTTATGTATATCTTGCTGATCAAAAATCCAATGATTATTTAAATTTCCTTCTTATATAAAAACACTCTTTCTTGCATTGTAATTTTATCAAATTACTTATAAATTTGTTATTTATATATTAAACGATTTCTTGATAGTAAAATCATAATAAAGGGGAGTAATCAAATCTTGAACCCGCTTTTGATTGGTTAATCTGGATCTTGAATCTCGAAATTCGAATGTCGAATCTCGTATTTCGAACCTTGAATCTCGAATGAGCCTTTTGGGAGCTTTTGATTGGTTAATCTGGTTCTTGAATCTCGAAACTTGAATTTTGAATCTCGAATTTCGAATCTCGTATTTCGAACCTTGAATCTCGAATGAGCCTTCTGGGCTTTCGTAATTTAAAGTATTAAATACATAGGGGATATATATTTGCATGATTGAAATACTCGTAAACATATTAAAGAAAATGATGTCACTGTTTGTTGCAGAGTATGGGGTCTCCATGTTCTAGGAATGGATTGTGGAGACGAGGCTGCTCATTGGTTCCAGAAATTTCTCCAGACAGAAGAGGGCGTTCGATTGGTCGTGTCTTCTGGATCTATGCCAAAAAAAGATTCATCAAAGGAAATCAAACCTTGGGGAAATCCTGCACAGCCTGGCGATCTGGTATTTTTACCCCACCTTCCACCCATAATTGAAGTTTAGGAGGGTTATAAGTATCACATCGTCCGTCTGTCCTTGCATTCTCCTGGCTATAACGTTGTGATGGAGAACAAACTGCACAAAATAAGATGTTCTCCAAGAATTATCAGCGTGTTGAAATATTATTCAAAACTACATCAAAACCAGAATTATATATCGTTTTGCCCAAAGTTACTGAAAACTAAAATTGGTGATCTAGTTTTAAAAATTCGAATATTTTAGTTTCAAGCTTCGATTTTTTTTTAACCTAAATATAGCGAGTCTCATCAATTTCCAAGATATTTAAAAAATAAATATCTCATACTAGTAATAGTCTTGTAAAATAAGTTTTGTACATTTGTAGGCCTTGTTTTCTGATTTTGGTGGCTTTTTGGTGATGAATGAAGCATCGTTAGACGCATTAAATGAACGTCTAGAAAAAAAGGTCACCTTCAGAACTTTTCGACCCAACATCGTCATATCCGGTTGTGAAGCTTTTGCCGAGGTATTCCTTATTCGTCAAATGTAAATTATCATTTCAGCATAAGATAATGAGTTCCCGTTAAAAGGTTTATTTTCTTCATGAAAAATTGCCATATATTTCTGAGGTGCTCAAAGTCCTTTCCTTCATGGTACTTTTACATTTGCAGGATTGTTGGGACGAATTAAGGATCGGGGACACGAATCCACTCTCCTTTAGAATCCTGGATCCCTGCACTAGGTTTTCTAGAATCTCTCCTAACATTTGTCACTTGATCTTTCATCAAATTTTCTAGATTTTGCGAGCATATATGTGTATTTCTACATATTTCAAATAAAACATAAAGGAAGGCTGTTTAACACACTATAACAAAAACAAAATCAAAGACGAACAAAGGAAAATTTCATACAAGTTTGATCAACAATTGCTTTCAGTGGCCGAATTTCCTTGTAAATATATTGTAGGTATAGAAGCTGAAGACTAAAGTTGCCAACCATTTCTAAATCCCTCTGGCACATAGCATGGGGAAGAGAATATCAAAGGGAATCGGTTAATAGAAATATCAATTCCAGTGAAGTACAGTTTTGCATTACATCACAATCTATTTTAAAACTGCGCTAAAGGTAAGTAGTACACGCCTCATAACTGCAAGTTGTATGTTAGTTTCTCCTTATCCCTGATAGCTTCCTCTTCCAACAGACTATTTCAGGAAAAACACACACAAGAAACGTAAAGCCAGCAGATAGGAGGCATGTACTATTTACCAACTGTTAAAATTGGTTTTAACCAGAATTGGACGTAATGTAAATCGGTGCACTTCAATGGAATTGATAATAAATAACTTCTAATTCCTATTCTTGTAGATTAGTTAGGGGTATTACAGTATTCTGTTAACATTTGTTAAGGTGTGTTCTAACGACGGTGAATCCGGACACAGGAGAGAGAAATAAAGACAGACAACCCCTGGAGACCCTCAAACAGTAAGGAGAACCATCAAGAATATTCATTAGATACTAGCAATATCACTATAAAGTGTGTACTAATGATAATATTATACTCTCTTTCGAATATCCATTGTGCAAGGAAATCCAGGTGCATGGATTTTCTAGCCATTCTTATGATTAATCAATGGTAAGGGATTTTTAAACCCACAAGAGAATTTACCAGTTTTTACTCCATATAGAGTTGCTTAGTTTAAGAAATAATTAAAACATTTTTATAGTACTGTAGGGTGGATGCAGACTGTTACACTTCGTTACTTAAGACGATGAAAAGTTAAAAACATATTAATCATGTATTTTGTAGATTTCGCTGTTTCCCCACTTACGGAAATGACCCGATATTTGGGGTGAACGCCGCCTTAGACAATACTGGGAGCATAAAGGTGGGTGATTCCGTGTACGCCTTACGAAAACGTAGCAGCAGCTAGGAAGTCGGCCGCATAAGCTTTCCGAAAATGGGATTGGGGAGTTCCGAAGAATTTTCTCATTGAGGAGGGTTCAACAACTTCCAAGGAGCGGATCAAAAAATACGCTGAACTGCATTGAAAAACAAAGAAGCATAAACCAAAGTTCTGTACAAATTGCTTAGTGAAAACAATTTCTTGAAGTCTGATTTATATAAGTGGACTGGAATATATGATGTTGTAAATTTTCTTTTTATAGATTTGAAATAAAATGTAGATTTAGAGTGCTGTTTATTTAAGTGTTGTATGTCTGTCTCTAAATGTTCAAAATGTCAAATCTTTCGGCAAATCGTGAGAAAAATCAGATTTAATACCATCTTGTTTTTCGACCCTATTTTAATCTTGTACACAGTCTGGTCTCAAGACCATAATCTGTGAAAAAGATTTAAAAAATGCAAAATTTTATTTCTTTAATACTTGACTTTTTTTTGACATGTTCAAAAATTGCAGATTTTGTAAGAGTTTAAAAAACAAAGAATTGGGTACATTTTTAGCTCTACTGGTCAGAGACCAGGAGAGCTTATGCGATAGTAATGCGTCCGGCGTCCGTCCGTCTTTCTGTCTGTAAACAATTTTTCAAAATGCTACTCCTCCTACAGTTTTGATCTGATTTCAATATAACTTGGCACACAAGTAGACTACACTAAGATGCATGATTTTTTGTATCGGTTTTTGATTTGGATGAACGATGTTGCCGTGGTAACTAAAAATAGAAATTTCTGTGAAATGCTTTTAAAATTCTACTACTCTTACAGTTTTGGTCTGATTTCAATATAACTTGGCACACAAGTAGACTACATCAAGATGCATAATTCTGTATATCGGTTTTTGATTTGGATGATTGATCTTGCCGTGGTTACTAAAAATAGAAATTTCCGTGAAATACTTTCAAATTGCTACTCCTCCTACAGTTTTGGTCTGATTTCAATATAACTTGACACACATGTAGACTACACTAAGATACATAATTCTATTTATCGGTTTTTGATTTTGATGAACACTGTTGCCGTGGTTACTTAAAATAAAAATTTCTGTGAAATACTTTCAAAAGGCTACTTCTCCCACAGTTTTAGTCTGATTTCAATCAATATAACTTGGCACATAAATAGACTACATTATTCTGTATATCTGTTTTTGATTTTGATGAATGGTTTTGCCATGGTTACTAAAATTGAAATTCTGTAAAATACTCCTAGAGTTGTAGTCTTATTGCGGTCTTGCCACAAAGAGACTTGATAAGGGATCATTATTCTATTTATTGCTTTTATAAAGTTTTAAGTCCCAACTTCTACTTTTCTCTTTCTTTATTATAAGTACAAACCAGTAGAGCTACAGTCTCGACAGAGACTTCTGGTTTTAAATTTATCTAAATTATTTAAAAGTTAAATCAATATGAAATTTATGTTAAGTCTATTTAAAGTTTATGGTTTATGGTTTAAATCCGGACTGCATGCCTTCCAGATGTAAAAGTAAACTATGTCCCTTGGCACACTGCTCAACGCGTTATCGGCTACTCGTTTGTTATCGGACACTTGGTTCTAATTTTTGGCTATAATTTACCTCTTTTAAGAATATGTAACTTTTAAAAACTGATTGCTTTTTTGACATTTCTCACTGAAATCTGCATGATCTTGACCTGTTCAAAAATATGGTATAAGTTTTAAATTTCATTTCAATGTACCAAGGTCGCCCGCGTGGCACAGTGGTTAGAACGTCTGCTCTAGAGTCGCCAAGTAAGGAGTCGATCCTTACGTCGCGGGTTCGTATCCCACAGTGGGACGTTGCAGTAGGTGCTAGCACAAAAAAGACCCCTCACTGCTCAATGACCCTAAGTGCTGAGTATATGACAAATTATGAAGCTCTCCGCCGGCAAGCGATGGCGTCTCCATATGACTGAAAAGTTCTCAAGAGGGCGTTAAACAACAGCAATCAAGGTGCTGAGCGCATGGCGAAGGAACAGTTCCTACCCATTTTTATCGAGTTAAGTCAGTCGCCGCGGAGATTCAAACTCACAACCTTTCGAACACGAATACATTTATAAGTTTGGTATATACATGTAAAGCAATTAAAGAATTTAAACTCAAGGGTGGTTAGATGGATTTCCAAATTGGTAGTTAGACCAAAATATATGACATAGAATTCAAAATTTTGAGGAGAAAAGAGGTTGCCTTTAAAATATTACAAAATCGTAAACGGATCTCTATAACATCGGAAGTTGTTTAACGTACCAAGAAGGAATAAGAATCCCCTGATGAACGGTCACAAAAAAGTTAAACATACGAAGAATTGAAGTGAATCAACCAGCACCCCTTCCTCCTAAATACTAGTAAGTATTTTTAACGGTTGAAAAATGAGTTATATATTTTTTTAATTAAAGTGTTTCTAAAACAATAAAAGTCCAGTCGGTTCCCTTAATTTTATCTATTATTTTTTTAAATATTTTTTTTCTGGACCATGCTTTTTGTTAAAGGATAGTCTCTGTAACGTACTACATGTACCTATCAAAAAAAAAAAAACAAAAAAAAAAACGTAATACATGTATATCGGAAGTCTAAAGCAAAATTGTTATGATTAATTAAACATAATATATTTACGTCTGAAACCGCCTAATGCAGTTTCCAAGAGGTTATCTTGAATGAAAAACAAGAAAAATGATTGAACAGATGAGTAGTTCTATTATAAATTTATAATGATTAATCTTATTTATATACATTCATATCAAAACAAACTTTTACGTTGCTATTTTTAAGGATTGGCAGATTATAATGGACTTTTTCCAATCTATTTATGAAGCTAAAGGAAACTTTTTAACCTGAGTTTCCGATAACATACACCCGACTAAAACCGAAGTATCCGGCAACTTCAACCTTGTTTCCGATAGTAAACACGTTTTCAACTAACGATATATTTTTTAAAAAGAATGTTTACTAACCCTTAATTTGGATTTTTAATTTCAGTTTGCTGATCTTAAGGTATCTGATTGTCCATAGAATAAATAGACCAATTTGTTTGATAGAATAAACTAATTTTGAATTCTACAGAAGTTAAAATGCGATGACATATTCCGAATTTTTTGTAAAATATCATTTGAAAGAGTTGTAGATCTTTTGAAAGAGAGTGATTTGGTTTGTGCTGTTTTTTGCTGAAAGTATAATCAATTATATGTCATAGATCACAAACTTTGTTTGCTGAAATAAATATTTATCGTTGAAATATGAAAATTAAAATTACCCACATTTTCTAATCATTGCTTTTCTTGCACCGAGTGTCCGATAACAACAGAGTAGCCGATAACGCGTTGAGCGGTGTGCTTGGCATACTGATCGAAATTGTCTGCACTTAAAATTTGGTGGTATCTTTTAAAAATCTTCTTCTGGGCGCAAAAGTTAAACTTATGTGAGATCTTCTTTACATAGAATAGATTCAAGTTTTTTCGAATCATAACCCCGGGGTAAGGTGGGATAGATATAAGTCAAACTAGTGCTAATTGTAACGGGGACCGTTACAGATGTTCCCCAAACGCTCCCCAATTCCCTTTTGGTGCCATACTCCCTGTAAGCTTCATTAAATAAGACAAACTCGATGCATTTGAGACTTTAATAACGTTTACCCAGAAGTGTAAAAAGTTCGTTCAAATTTTGCGTGCGCATGTGAATGCATGTGCATAATGACCATATCATCTTGTCTACACAATCTATATATTTTTATATACTAAATATTAAAGCATTTAATCCAAAAGTATTAAAAAGATACGCTCATTCAAGTGTGTTTTTGATTTTGTTCATTTCACGTGCACGCACGAGCATGGTGACCATATCGTTTTGTAGATGTCCGTTACATCTATCTATGTTCTAAATTCCACCCCGTTTGGTTGAAAACCAAGGGAGTTATAGCTGTTTAAAGTTTCAGTCAATCAGATTGCAGCACACGTACATGCACGTGTATGCATGTGCATGGTGACCATATTTTCTTGTAGTAGTCCAGTATATCTATCTATGTTCCAAATCCCATCCTGTTTGGTTGAAAATCAAGGGAGTTATAGCTATTTAAAGTTTAAGCCAATCAGATTGCAGCGCACGTGCATGCACATGTTTTCATGATAATTGCTATATATCTTGTTGTAGGATATCCTAATGCATGGCAATTTTCAAAATTTCAAAAGATTTCATCAAAAAATAAGAAAGATATTGAGACTTTAGTTTCAGCCAATCAGAGCAAAGCGCACGTGCATGCGCGTGAGATCTTGCTATTTTGACTATGTCATATTGTCTATGCTTCTAATATATCCTCATATTATAAGTTTCAAAACATTTCATCAAAAATTTAAAAGTTACGCCTATATCAATTAAATCGGTCATTTCACATGTTGCACGTGCACGCTCTTGCAAGCACGTGCGCGCAAAATGACCTTCGTTCCGCAAATCTACATAACATGTCTACTGACCCTAAAAACATTTCAACTTAGTCTGATGTATAGTTTACGAGATCATTCCCGGACAAAAAAGTACCCAGGAAGAAGAAGAAGAAGAAAAATAATAATAACTAGAAAGTCTGCTATTGCAAGCAATAGCATATGTCGCCCCGTATTAGACAATACTTTCATTTTTATCATCACTAAAACAAAAGTCCATAAGCTAAGTTTGAAAACCTTTGAGTTATATCAGTCCTTTCCGACCTTAATTCGGTACATCCCACTCATTATTTTTAGAATCGGTAGGAGAAGAAAGTAGTGCAGGAAAATTACAAGTTCCTCAATTTGCAGACTTGCATAAAAGAAATCTGGCAGATGTACTGAACTGAGCCTCATACTTGTTAATTGGCAGTATCTTTCCTATCATAAAAGCTTGGGAAATGTAATTTATGAAGAAGATCAGCCGAATTATTTTGTGTATTGTAACGCCAGTGGGAACTCTGAAATTTCCCTCTTTCACTTTCATTTTAGAGGTTCTACTGAAAAACGAATCTGACATGCCACCATCAATTCGAGCATTTCTGCATTGCAGAGAGCTGATGTGTGTTATGAGATGATAAATCATGTGTGAACTTTCTCAGTTTAGCGGAATCATGAACATTTTCGGCGAGATGAATGTTTTGTATACAGTGGTGATCAAGGCTTTGCGAACCATCAGGAGCGGATCAAAGAATTTATGAATGAATAAAAACTATGGAAATGACGTACCAATTTTTTAATTTATACTTGCACTATCTAATGAAATGAATAATTTACAAGTG